GGAATGAACTTTCCCCCTTCCTTTTTTTACTTTGTTTTTGTTTCTTCTGCTTCCACATCTAAGAGCCATGTTGTCTCTTGCTGGTTTCCCAGGGATTTGCCCAGAGTGTGGAGGGCCACTGGCCCTTGCTATAGACTCTTCTGTTGTTGTTTGTAGTAAGTCAACTCTTAGTCTTCCCACTAATAAATATTCAGTAACAAACCAACTGCGTTCTAGCTGCTGTCTGGGAGCAGCACTTCCCCTTGTGTTTCTTTGTATTGATTCCTTTTAATTTGTTCGGCTCTCTTTGCCAGATGAAACTATGTAAACTTTTACCATGTCAAGAAATTAAAATAAGGTACTTGGAATTCTTTTAAGGTAGCCCCTTGTGTGTGATACTGAGCTCTTAGGCTGTGCAGTGTTAACGTCTGTTCTGGTCCTGCCTTTCTCACATCCAGTTGCTCCTTCCCTGCATTCTCCTCATTCCTCTTTTCGACTGTGTTGTAAACTGCTATGCACTGCTTTGTAGGTTGTTTCTATTCCTTTAGCATGCCTTACATTAGGCCGACGGTCTTGGGTTTAACGTGATCTGTCCCATCTCAACCCAGTGTGCGGGACTTGGGCCATCTCAGTTAAAGCAGACGCAAGAGATTTGCGTGGTGTTTCTCTAAGCAGCCTGCTCCGTGGCTGCTCCTGCACCTCTGCCAAGCAGGTGTCTGCAGCGCCGTCCTGGGGCAGGCGCCTGGATGCCATGCCTGGTGCGTGTGTTCGGTGCATGGTCCGTTACTGTCTTGGCTGCTCCATGTACGTGGTACCAAAGGAAACGCAGGCCACCCTGCAATCCCCCAGCCAAAGCGTCGTCTGCTCTCCCCAGGGAATCGTGCCTGTTCTTGTTGCGCTTCCTCCCATGTCTGCCGCACCACAGCCCGGGGTGCAGGGACCTCTCCAGTGGCACTCCTGTTCCCTAAGCGTCCTGTCCCCCAGCCACTGGGGTGCAGGCCCCACTGTGAGCCTGCCCCCGGGACAGGCAGAGTTTGGCGCCTGGCCGGGGCTTGGCCGCCCTTCCCGGCCGGGGTGCCGCTAGGTGGGGCCCGTGCCCAGCCCCAGGAGCGGCCGCTGCAGATCGGGGCTCCTGCCTGGCACGTCCAGCCTCGAAATCTTCAGCTGCTGAGAAGCAGGGGCAGCTGCTTGCGGACAGACGCTTCCTGCCTCCCGCAGGGCCGCCTGCCCCACGGTGCTTCCTGCGGTGTGGGAAAGTCCTGCTGGTGCCTGAGCTGCTCCGGGGAAGGTGGGAGTTGAGCTGGAAACAGGTCGCTGGGGGCCGAGGTCAAAGGAAGGACAGTTGCTGGCAGGACTCGATGTGGTGCAGCACGAGGGGTTCCTCCTCACCACAGCCAGAAGAAACTGAACTCCCAGGAGGCCTGTGCCAGCAGTCCTGTGGAAGGACAGAGCATCCAGGATGGTTGTCTTGGCGGGTGTTGGCAGGGAGCGTGGTTCATCTGCAGGAGCAGGGGAGGGTTTGTTGTCCGTGATCTTCACTCCTCAGTCTCGGTGCAGTGGTTTCTGCTTTGCTCTCCGGGAGGAGTGGCAGCGTGCCGTCAGGGCTCCAGTTCACAGGTTCCTGAGACATCCCAGCTTATATGCAGTGACCGTTAAAACTTTGAGAGGAGAATAAAGGCACAGCAGTTGTGTGCAGACGCAAACGCTGTCAGAAACATAGCCGGCATGGGTAAGGGGCAAGCAATTTCCACCCTTCTGTTTTACGCAAGCTTGACCCTATGAGATGAGAGAATGGGAGTGGGAGTTTTCCAAAGTCTGAGGTCTGGCTTGGGATATGCTTAAGACTTGCCTGTGTCAGGAGAGTTGGCAAGGTGTTTTCTGTATTCTTTACCCAGCTGTCTGGCAGTCACTGACTCTGAGTTTCCCTGAGCCAAAAGCTGTCTGTCTCTGGTTTTGGTTTCCATAAATTTCAGAGACTATTTTTTGCCACCTCTACCTTTCTGTGTGCACGAAAAACAGCAAACTCCTCTCTTCCTTGCTTTGTTTGGGAGACGTGGACAATTTAGCAAATATAAGATGTACTGATGGGCAGTACCTAAAAGCAACCGTGTGGCCAAAATAAACCGGTGGGATGCGAATTCTCCATATTAGGTGAGGGACAGAGTGATGGGCTAATCGGACTGGGGAGCTGAGTTGTGGGAAGAGGTATGTGCACCAAACAGGGCATAAACAAGTTATGCTGCTGTTAGTGAGACATGTAATTTTTTAAATTCTAGGTTAGCTTTAAGCTGCTTCAGGCTTCTTTTGGAGAAGGCACACAAGCAATTCAGTGGTACGTGTGGCCCTTAAAGATCCCTGCTCACTTTTCATCAGTTAGGTATTCAGACAGGTTTCCTGGCTCTGGAGGCTCAGTTAATTACTCTGCTTCCTGAAATTTCTACTGCAAGATGGAGGTGGATTTAGGGCTGTTCTGTTTATTCTGAAACAGAGCTCCCAGAAAGCGCAGGCTGATTCTTGTGTTGCTTGTAATAGGCTTTAAAAGTTCTCAGCTTGAAAAGTACAGCAGAAATGGACAGTATTAAATAGCGTGGTATTAGACATGGCATCCGTGGCACGTATCCTGTAGTGGGGCAGAGGCAGCACAGAAAGCTTCGTTTGTGTCATCTGTATCCTGCAGACCTGGGATGCGTGCTGTGGGTTGGTTTGTTGTGGGGACGTCATTACAGGTTGGGGTTTCTCTTTTTTTCCAAACACCCAACATGCACAGAACTAAGAGTGTTACCACGCTTTATTTTCAGACATCTCCCAGACAAGCTGCAGGGTTGAGTTGTGATTAGTGGGGCAGTAAGGCCTGTGGAATTTGTCCAGTTCTCTTAAACTACTGCTGTGCTGCTTGAAAAATGACCATCTGTAATTGCAGCCTATGCCTTGACTTTTAGGGACTTGGGATGCAAAACCAAGAGGCAAAGTCAAAACTGAATGATCTGCTCTTTTTGTACTTCTCCAAGGAAATGTCAATGTGAGCATTGTGCATGCAGCCTCGGAGGTTCGTGCAGCAGTCTTGGCTCAGCTGTGTAGGTGCGTGTTGCAGCAGAAGGCTTGTTGAATTCCTGGGAGGCAGGAGGTATGTCCTGGCTCTGCTCTAAACCTTAACTGAGGCAAGAGCGCTTCCTCTCTGCACTCTGAGTGAAAGGATACCATGTTCTAGGCTTACACCAAAAGGGACTTTTTCTTTCAAGCCTAACCCCAAGTAATCCTCGAAGCCTCATTGACTTCATGGATTGAAAGACTGACTTGGAAGTCAGCACTTCTTTGCTTAATTTGGGGCTAGTCAGAGGCGTCTGATTCTGCCACTGGAGGCCAGTTGAAAGTTGATGAGAGCAGGGTACCTGTGAAACCTGTAGCTGTTGCATCCCGTGTAGCCAAGGCTCTCTTCTCATCTGTCCTGTCTCTCCCCATTGCTTGTGTCCGTGCCACAGAGTGAGCCCCTCTTCTGGCACAGCGGCCGTGTGAATTGACTGCTGTGGCTCTGCCGGCTTTGCTGGTGTGATGGCCAGTGAGGCAGAGATGACGTGTGCTGGCACGGAGTGGACGTGCGTGTCCCTGACCTGCACAGCTGCAGCCTGGGCTAAAGAAGGCTGAGGCTGCCAGTGGTGGTGAGGATAATGGAGTGTGTCCTATGGCAACGTGGCCTTCTGCCTACCAGCGTGGTGTCTGGTAAGCACGGCTGGAGGACCGTGGAGGGGCTGAGTCCAGGGCAAGATCCGCTGCAGAGGAAGAACTGGAGGCCGTGCCGAGGCTGGGGGGGGCTGTCTCCCACCAGGAAACTCTGACGGGAGGAGGAAGAGAAGGCCAGGGTGAGGTGAGGTGAGGCTGGCAGCAGGAGTGGAAATGTTGGGTTGAATCTCCGGCCCTGGTTCTCTTGGATGCCTTGTGCTTCTCAGCACCAGCTCAGGGACAGGCAGGGATTGTAGCTGAAGCGGTGCGTCTTGTCTAGCCCAAGCATCTGCTGCGTGGCAGGATGGAGTACCGAGTCCCGTTGTCTGGCTGCCTCATTCTGCCAAGGCCTTTCAACAGTGCTGAGACCAGCAGACACCCCTTCGGCGGGGATGGCAGAGGGCAGTTGTCACAACCTTTGGTAGAAATCCTGGAGGTGGCTGCTCGGCCTGGGCGACAGCCTGGCAGCACAGTGATAGCGGGCACTGCCATCGGCTGCCTGCTTGGATGCCGCAGGTTGGGGGTTGTTTTGTCCTTGAGGGAACTTCTCAGAAGCTGCACCTCAGTTTATCTTCGAGTCGGAGGCAGAGACAAAAGCTGCGTCATCTTGTTTCAGTGGAATGCTGGGGGATTAATTAGTTCATAGCTGTTCAAAGGTGCAAACTAAGAGCTAGTTGTTCAGCGCATTGGGGCCTGAATCTCATCCTGAACTACATCTCTCCATGCCTGCCAAAGTTTTTCTACTACTACACAGATGGGTGTGTTTTCAGCAAAGGCTTCCATGTGGAAGATTTAAAAAAATAAAATAAAAAGTAATTCCAAGCTTGGAATCATGCTGCCAGGGAGAATGTTTACAAGGAAGCAGCCTGATAAACAAGGAAATTCGGTGAGTTGCAAAGAGGTGAAATTCTACAGTGTGGCAACAATTCCCAGCTTGTCAGAGTCTCGCAGTGGTCCCAGCCACCTCAGGCTGACTACAGGATCTTCGTTTTTACAGGCAGCCTCAGGAAGCTAGGTTGGACTGAAAAAGTAACAGAATTATGTGAAACTTGTCTGAGTCACTGACCCTGCATCTCCACTAGTTCTTTCAGGGCACTGCTCGTGGAGGAGGACAGAGAAGGCTGCAGCTGAGAGACGAGATCTGCCCTTTCTGGTCACCACGAATTTCAGATCTCCTCCCCTAGCCTCTCCCAGTCTTTTGTACTTTCCGTGCTAATCCATCCAGTGCAGTGTAAACTGACAGAGGCAGCAGCTAGAAACCCTGCTCTGAAAGCTGCTGTGAATGCCTCAGGACCAGCAGCAGCATGCACATGAAAACCGTGCTGCTCCTCCTCGTTCTGGCTTTAGCCACGATATTTGCTTTAGTCTGTGTGTTGCTGACCAGAGGAAGGGCCCCCAGCCCCTGCCAGCACCAGCCCCCGGAGCAGGAGGACACCGATGGCGGCCAGAGCCTGGTCTTTGCCGATCTGACACCCGAAGAGATGGTGCAAGTGGTGCGGTACCTGCAGGGAAACCTTGGGGTGCAGCTGGTCGATGCCTCGCGTGCAAAACCCTCCGACAACTGCATCGCCTCTGTCGACGTGCAGGTCCCCGCCAAGGCAGAGGTGCTGCGGTTCCTGGATGGTGGTGGGGCTCGCCCCCCCCGGGAGGCGCTGGCTGTGCTGTACTTTGGGAACCAGCCAGACCCCAACGTCACCGAGTACGTGGTGGGTCCGCTGCCGACGCCAGCGTATCACCGGGACATCACAGTGCAGAAGTACGGGGGGAAGGTGCCGTACCACCGCAGACCAACACTGGCTGTTGAATACAAACAGATGGCAGGGTTTTTAAAAAGCCAAGTGTTCCCCACAGCTCCATCTTTCATGCGTCAAGTAATGGAGTATGATGGAGCCAGTCTAGCAGCCCTGACAGCCGCCCCCCGTGGATTCCAGTCTGGAGATCGGATCACCTGGTTCGTTTTGTTTCAGAACGTGAGTGGGTTCTTTGTGCACCCGGTGGGGCTGGAGGTGCTGGTGGACCACAGCAGCCTGGACATCTCCCGGTGGGCGGTGAACAGGGTCTTCTACAACGGGCAGTACTACAGGGACATGGTTCAGCTGGAGAGCGCCTACGTGCAGGGTCGCATCAGCGTGGAGAAGGTGAAGAAAGCGCCGCGGGGGTTCGTTTTTTCAGAACGTGAGTGGGTTCTTTGTGCACCCGGTGGGGCTGGAGGTGCTGGTGGACCACAGCAGCCTGGAGAGCGGCAGGGACGCATCAGCGTGGAGAAGGTGAAGAAAGCGCCGAGCGCCGGGGACTTCTCGTCCATGAAGCCCCGAGCGCCTTCGGCTGCGCTGTTCCCTTTGCAGTACGAGCCCCAGGGTCCCCGCTACAGCATCAGGGAAAACCGCGTCACGTTCCAGGGCTGGAGCATCACCTTCGGCATGAACCCCACCTCCGGGGTGCGAGGGGTCGACTGCCCCTATTTAGCGACGTATCTGGATGTGCACTACCTTGCTCATTCCCACGTCTCTAGAATTAGTAAAAATGCCCTCTGCGTTTTTGAGCAGAACCTGGGCTCCCCTCTGAGGCGCCACTACTCCAACTTGCAGTCGCTCTACTACGGGGGGCTGGTCAACTCTGCTCTGGTGGTTCGGTCCATTGCGACCATGGGCAACCATGACTACGTGTGGGACTTCGTCTTCTACCAGAACGGGGCCATCGAAGGCAAGGTCCAGGCCACGGGGTATGCGAGCTCATCCTTTCTCCACGGGGATGGTCTGAGATACGGCAATAGGGTTTGGGAGCACACGCTGGGTACGATACGCACCCATTCCATCAACTATAAAGTGGACTTGGATGTGGGAGGTAGGTCTGGGTCTTCCTATAATGTCTGCCATTATACTGGTAAACCCCAGAGCTTTGGGGGGATTGCCTCCTCGTCTGTAGAATTCCTAATAACTGACCTTGGAACTCTGCTTTTTCACTCTCCTAACCTCTTCTTTCATTCCAAAATTATTTTTCTATGTATAAAATAGTCTGTCAAGGTCACGGAGTTGAAGGCAGTCTGAATGGTCTGGGAGCTCTGTGTTCAGCCCAGGGAAAGCATGAAAGGTAGCAGCTGAAAAATGTTTGTGTTTCCTTGAGGCCTCATGTCTGGCACAGTGAGTTTTGCCACAGGCATGGCCAGGCAGACAGGGAGACACAGCCCTGTCTGCAGGGCTGAAGGTGTGAGCCTGTTCTTCCTGCGCCTGATGCTGGCCCTGGCGCTCCTTGTAACTTGGGGAAAGTCCTTTTTGTATCTCGACTGCCCCGCGTAAAGCAGGGCAGCTGGACTGGTGCTCCGCAGGGATGAGCTTATGCAGCTCTATCTCCGCTTCTCTTTTGAGGAAACGCTTGTAAGTTGGATTCTGAGTCTCAGGCTGCAAAGCCGCTGTAGTGAGCCAGTGAATTCCCCTGCTCCTGCACAGAGTCACGGTTTTTGGCGGCGGATCCCTGTGGAGGGTTATTTGAGTCCAGGAGCAGCTCCTTCTGCACCGTCTGGTGGGCTGAGCAGTGAAGTGCTGGCATCCGCCCTGGAAGGCGCAAGGATGCTCGGCCTGAGAGGACAGCTTTGCTTCCCCTTAAAGGCCATTCCAGTAACTGCAGTCTGGGAAGGTGCAAGGGCAGTGGTGGTGCTGGGGGCACAGATTGGCAGCATTAGGTGTCTGTTATTGAAACCTGCTTTTGTAAAAGGTAAGGGGGAAAAAAAATGTTTTACATCTGCACAGGACCAAAGAGATCGCTGGTAGGAAGTGGACTGCCTCTGTACCAGCCCGAGGAGAAATGCAGCTCCAGTAACCCGTGCTGTCTCCTGGATTGCGGGGAGTAATCGGAGAACTATGTACGTCAAGCTGCAGCTGACTCCAGTGCAAGCGTTCAGTGCCAGCATGTGTCCTCTCTTGTACCTGCCTGCGATGCAGTGGTTTGTGTGGCCTTGAAAGGTCTGCTGCTGTCATTACGGTTGAAAACAGGGCTGATACTGGTTTCCTTCCTGTAAGCAAGGCTCGAAAACATGCTAAAATACAGTTCCTGTGTGGTGGCAAGGTCCTTTTCCATGACTGCTGTGCCCCCCAGTTCACTGCTCTGTTTACAGCCCCTGAGCCCTGGCTGCTGCCAGATGGTCTTGAGAAGAGCCGTGTAAAATCCCAGACTTGTTCCCCTTAGCAAGGGAGGGGAGCCCTGTCCCGAGCAGCAGGGCTCGGGGCCGCATGGCGTGCCTGAGAGGCGCCCTGCAGGATCCCCACCTTCCGAGCGCAGGGAAGGTAAAACTGCAGCACAGCAAAAATGGGTTATCTCCCACACAGGTTTCTTGGATCCTGATCTGAGGCTGGTGTGGGACCTGCAGGGAAAAAGGGCAATTATTCCCTGGCTGGAAGTGAGAATGAAAACATAAGTTCCTAAATCGACGTGATCGCAAGAGTGGTAAATTGATCCAGTGCTGTAGCGATTTCAGCCCCTGCCTGTGCCTCAAACTGTCTCCACCAGAAGGGTGTGAAGTGGACCACGATCTCTGGAAAGCCATTCTCGGCTGTCGGTGATGTATTGCTGCTGCCTTGTGTGGGGCTGGGCACAGTGGGGCCAGCCTTGCAGAAGCTGGTGGCCATGCAGGAGCAACTGCCTCGCACCACGGTGGGGTGGCCCCAGCGCCCCGGCCCCCTGCTCGCTGCCTCTGAAGGGCTGCTCGCTGCTCTCCTCGCTAGGGAAGGTCCATCGTGCAGTCAGGAGTACTGAACAGTTTCCTGACAGTAACCATTTCTGTCTGTGACAGCTCTTGTCCAAGGATCCTGTCTGCTGGAGTGGAGTTGGGATGGCTGGATGGGGACAGACGTGTCCTGTTAGCCATCCTGCAGCCTCTGCTCTTCCTGGTGCAGCCGCCTCAGGTGCTGCCCGTCACTTGCATTTGCTGCCAGGGGTTCGGCGAGTGCTGCCTGTTCTTGCAAGGGAGCTTCCTCTCATCTCGGCCAGTCCGCCACAGCTGGAGCCAGGCTGGAGCTGCCAGGTTCCTTCCCTCAGGGTTGGGAGGGACTTGGAGGTGGCAGAGAATGGTGACAGGGAGAACAGGCATATGGAGGTGCTGGGGAGCCGGCGGGTCTTGGACTGTCCTGGAGCACCAGCCTAGACCAGCCCTTCAGGGGAGTGGGGCTGGTCCCGAGGCACCGGGGTGCAGAAGGAACGGGGCTGGCTGAGCCTGCCCCTGTGGCATCGCTGCGCTCCCACATGAGATGGGACGGGGTGTCCTGGGAGACGCTGGGAGAAGCAAAGGCCCTTGGGCAGACCGAGGCCGGGACTCTTCATGGTGTCACCCTGCAGCGGAGAAACCCATCAGTAGCTTGAGGAGTGAGTCAGGCACCAGCTCCCCAGCTGGCTTCCTTGGTGTGTCTGGGGTGGGGAGGAAACAGGCTGAACTGGCTGGGACCTGTGATCTCTCGGAGTCCCATGCGAGCTCCAGGCTCCCTCCCCACCTCGCAAGCGACGCGTTTACACCCACAGTCGGCAAATGAATTAAGAGCCTGGTCTGCAGGTGAGGGACATACTCTAGATGCTGCAGCCGAACCCCGTGCACTGTCTCTGCACTCGGAGAGATGAACCCCAAACTTCCCTACGTTCTCCTGGTTGGGGCTGCGGTGATAATCTTCATTCTCTCCTGCATGCTGCTGAGCAGGGGGAGGCGATCACCCAGCTGTGAATCCCAGCCCCGCATCGTGGAGAAGATGGGATCCACAAGCCAGAGCCTGGTCTTTGCCGATCTGACACCCGAAGAGATGGTGCAAGTGGTGCGGTACCTGCAGGGAAACCTTGGGGTGCAGCTGGTCGATGCCTCGCGTGCAAAACCCTCCGACAACTGCATCGCCTCTGTCGACGTGCAGGTCCCCGCCAAGGCAGAGGTGCTGCGGTTCCTGGATGGTGGTGGGGCTCGCCCCCCCCGGGAGGCGCTGGCTGTGCTGTACTTTGGGAACCAGCCAGACCCCAACGTCACCGAGTACGTGGTGGGTCCGCTGCCAACGCCAGCGTATCGTCCGCTGCCGACGCCAGCGTATCACCGGGACATCACAGTGCAGAAGTACGGGGGGAAGGTACCGTACCACCGCAGACCGATGCTGGGCAGTGAGTATGAGCAGGTGGGAGCATTCTTAGAGACGGTGGCATTTGCTGCAGCCCCAACCTTCCTGAAAGAAGTGTTTGAGTATGACGGCACCAACGTGGCATTTCAGACCACAGCCCCTCACGGGTTTCAGTCCGGGGACCGTAAGTCCTGGTTCATCGTGTTTCAGAACGTGAGTGGGTTCTTTGTGCACCCGGTGGGGCTGGAGGTGCTGGTGGACCACAGCAGCCTGGACATCTCCCGGTGGGCGGTGAACAGGGTCTTCTACAACGGGCAGTACTACAGGGACATGGTTCAGCTGGAGAGCGCCTACGTGCAGGGTCGCATCAGCGTGGAGAAGGTGAAGAAAGCGCCGCGGGATGGGGACTTCTCGTCCATGAAGCCCCGAGCGCCTTCGGCTGCGCTGTTCCCTTTGCAGTACGAGCCCCAGGGTCCCCGTTACAGCATCAGGAACAACCACGTCCTCTTCCAGGCCTGGAGCTTTGCCTTTGGGATGAGCGTGAACACCGGCCTGCGCCTGTTTGACATCCGACACAAGGGGGAGAGGGTTGCCTATGAAATCGGCATCCAAGAGGCGTTGTCAGTGTACGGCTCCAACTGCCCTGGAGGGATGTCAACGAGGTACATGGATGGGAGCTTTGGCATTGGGCGCTACACCTCCCCCTTGGTGCGAGGGGTCGACTGCCCGTACTCGGCCACCTATGTCGACACACACTCTCTGTTTGAGACCCTAAGCCCCAGTAAGAGAAAGGCTTCCCTCTGCATTTTTGAGCAGAACCTGGGCTCCCCTCTGAGGCGCCACTACTCCAACTTGCAGTCGCTCTACTACGGGGGGCTGGTCAACTCTGCTCTGGTGGTTCGGTCCATTGCGACCGTGGGCAACTACGACTACGTGTGGGACTTCATCTTCTACCAGAACGGGGCCATCGAAGGCAAGGTCCAGGCCACGGGGTACGCGAGCTCATCCTTTCTCCACGGGGATGGTCTGAGATACGGCAATAGGGTTTGGGAGCACACGCTGGGTACGATACACACCCATTCCATCAACTATAAAGTGGACTTGGATGTGGGAGGTAGGTCTGGGTCTTGTTTCTCCTTTGTGCCCTCCCTGAGTACTTTTAGACTCCCCCAAATTGACATTTTTTGGATCCTTCTACAGATTTTTCTTTCTGTATGTGGGGTAGGATGGTGTGCTGACACAGAGCTGCCTCCCTTCTGTTTTTAGAGCAGTGAAAAGCTGTTGTCCTACAGGGAGAGGTTCCCCCTCTGTCCCATGCAGTTACCCGTAAGTGTCGTGCAGAGCTGTGGCTTCCTGGGCTGGGTAACGCCAGCACCACCATGTGCCCAGCCCGTGCCCCTAATGGGAAGGGGTCCTTCCCCTCCTGCCTGGGCAAACAGACTCTGCCCCGTTGGCCTCGATGGCTCCGAGGCTCTGCAGAAGTTGGGATTTTTCCCTCCGCACCCTACCCCTGTCCTGAGCCCCAAATGATAGTCGGAGTTGATCAAGCTGTTTTGTTGGGATGTGGTTTCCAGCTCACATTCCTACTTCCTACAGCTTTGTTGAGCCGTTCCCGCTGCTCGTGTGCGAGTGGGACCGGCAGCTGCCCTCTCTGTAGGGCTGCGGGCACAGCAGGCAGATGCTGGGCTGGCGGCCAGCTCTGAGCTTACGGCTGTGCTGTGTTTTGCCAGGGGTACAAGGGATCCTTTGCTCACAGCAGCAACGGGAGCATCGGCTGCAGTTTTCTAGGTCTTCCCCTACCATTTATGCCACAAATCTGTCCTCACACTCCTGCTGAAATTGCATTTGCTGTGTGCTCCTGACATCTATTAAAAATTTCTCAATTTCCTTTTAATTGGGAAACGCAAATTTAAAGACTGTTCCATGTGGTTTTAGGATGAGTTTTGAGTACTTAGGTAAAAATGGAGGATTGCAAAACTGCAAGAACAGTGAAAAGGCAGATGAAATCAGAGTGTCACTGCTATCACTGGAAGGGGAAGTGTGGGGTTAGAAGTTTTGTTTACATCAGAAAAGGGAAGAAAACAAGCACGGTGGTGGTTGCTGGGCGTGGATCCTCTTCTATGGGTCTCTGGCTCTGGTGCTGACCTCGATGGCAGCCCTGGGGCTCAGGCCCAAGGCACTGCTCAAACCTTCCAGGATGGCCAGAGGTTCAGCTCTGAAATGGCCTTTATGCAGGCTGGAAACTCACGTGGGGCCGAGGGGAGTGGAGCACGGGAGGGTGTTACACCATGCGCTCCAGCTGGGACAGGCAGCGGATGCTGAGCACCGGCCCCTCTGCCAGAGCCGTGCTGGCGCTGGCCCTCGAGTGCTCTCAGCCAGCTCTTTGCTGTCTTGTCCCCAGATTTATTTGCTCTTGTGCCCCTCCTGTTGCTCTGAGCCTCTGGCTCATGACTCT